ATAGATATATGGACGTAAGATCTCACCACGGTCAGATCGATTTCCAGAATCAAAGGTATCGTCCATTGTCATGTCAACATCAGTTTGCCCCCTTTCTGAGTTCGAGTCGTTGAAACGGTGCTGCGACTCAGACGCTGTGGGACTGCCAGAGGGGATGACATCGAATGACATAGTATGAGTCATGCTAGAACTCGGCCTGGCTTCTAAGGGTTTACAAGAGGCAATCGGTCTTGGATGGGCCTTTACATGCCCACTGGAAGGCCTCAGTGGTAAGGTTCCCTAGCGACAAGTTTACTAAGTCCTGCTCTGACCAATAAGCCAACCAACTCACTTGTGATAGGGCCTTCGTTGACATGTTTGCAACTAAATTAGACAAAGTCGAACCTCTCGCGAGCTCTAATCTTTTCTGTCTTGCAAGAACGCTAGACCTTTTGAAAAAACTGCAAGTCGCTCGATGTCTATTCAGTCCTCGATTGTCTGTTGCCTTCTGCCAAGAACAACCTCGAGCTCCGCACTGAGACACCATCACAAAAACCAGCAGGATCCAGAAAACTTGTAAAAGCCGCATGTATTACAATGGGTATGTTGCCGAATACAAGCTTCAGCTCGGTAAGTGCATCTGAGAACTCGAATCGCGAGTCGCCATAGCACTCAGCATTGTACACATGTTTCTGGAGTTTTGTTTCCAATTTCAAATTTCAAATTCCTTATCATTTTTCCTTATACGACATAGAATCAATATGGAAATACTAATAATAACAAGTGTTATACGTACACGTACTCATAAGCAACCATGTTCAACCCTTCGGAACCCAGTTCCCTCCCACTTACGCACCAGCCCACAGTAAGAATGCCCTTTCATGCTCCTCCAAGCTCGACCAGAGGGTCGAGTCAGGAATGCGAGTACAAAGACGAGCCCAGTCAATGCGAGACTGATCCTTCTTCGTGCATACTCGAGCCTTCTCCAGCTCTCGTTCGGACGATTGGTAAGACTCGCAGTCGACATATCTCACAAGCCAAACGTGCCAGGTCGCCATCATCTGACGAAACCAACGACGGCATTCTTAGACCTATAACTCCTCCACCCATAATCAACGATCTTGCTCGTTTTGTCAAGCGTGCAAAGTTAAGCCCAACGCTTCGCATAAAGGATAGCTCCAACACACAGGATCGCCGCTTTTTTAATAACCAGTTATCTCACCGTGGCTCATTGAGTGTATCAGATGCTCAGCGGGTATGTTATTTTGTATATAAATTGGACAAATTGCTCATTGAGAAAAACATACCAGACCAAAGATGTGCTCCGGCGCCGTTTGAAGAACTTGTCTTCAGAAGCTGCAGCTCAAGCTGTAGTTACGATGCACGCTGACGTTGAATGGAGGCGCGTGTGTTGTCTGGCAACGGCTTGGGAAATCTATGCGAGTGAAGAACACTTGAAGTTCCTTCACATGGTTCTTGAAGATCAAGGTGAAAGATATGCCAGTGCTGGCAGTGAGCCTTTTGGCACGTCAGTTGAAGGGCTCGTTAGCTGTAGTGAGGAGGAACTTAAAGATCGGATAGACTTCGGTGTCGCTGCATACAGCCATGATGTAACATCATTCGCTGTTGGAGACACACAGTTGGATTACCTCGAGAATACATGTAAGTGTGCTCATTTACCTACAAGCAATGTCGCTGCTGATGATCATAAAGCCACAGACTCAGACGAATCCGACGACTCTGGCATCGCTCTCACGCACTCGGAAGAAGACCGATCCAGGGGTGAGACATTAAGAACTGCAGCAATTTCATCACCGTGTAACAGCTAAAGTACTCAGTATAAATGACTTTCGCCTGGCTTTGCGCTGACCATGTGCTAGATTCATTGTCTCAACATATGCAATGCGATAGGAATAGTTCGGGGACAAAGTTTCCCCTGTAGCTTTACCGATTGTGATGTGGGGCATGAGGTCCCCATTGTTATTCTCTGTTTCCTTCTGTTTGTCCCTGTGACAGTATCGTTATCAGATCTACAACATTCACTTCGAACTTTTGTTGCGATAGGTTACACATGTACTTCATCGATAGTTGTTGGCTACCAGATGCCTTTCAATATCAGATATCGGGAAGGCGGCCTCGATGCCGGTTTTCTTTTACGCTAGATTTTGTAATTTAAGTTTCGCCTTACTTTGATGGAACACGGTTTTGACTATGTTAGATTACCGACGCCTGGGATCATAGTACTGCCAGCATATGACGTTAGACTGGGCTAGTACTACTGAGTCATTATGGCGTAAATCGGCCCGGGGTTGCAGCGGCCAACGTTTCCGAAGTTGGCCGGCACGACTAATCTGGACAATGGTTCGAATTTCATGTGTGTAACATGAGGCTAGGTACAATTCAATTGAACTCCATATATCGACGACTGAGTACCACCCCAAACCTTAATTGACCTCATGACAGCGGGAATTAACGTAGATTGCCCAACTTGTACGCGTCTGAAAGCAGGAATACATGTTTTTCCTTCCAATCGGACGCGTCTGCCTTCAGAGGCCAGAAAATCTTGCAACAAATCGAAGAGTAAGTCGCACTCATTATCCAATTAACCGTGACACTGTCTGATAGATCTGTTATCGCAGCCGGCATGGGTTTGATCAGTGGGGCCCTCTTGTACCCTCCGCGGCCGTGTTCGACTCGAATTTACGCTACCTGTATCGTGACCACACTCCTACTACTCGCAAGACATCGTCATCCAGACTCGGATATGTTCAATTTCGACTCTGATTGGCAGCCTGACCCGGACTCTCAGCATCAACATGGCCCTGGGCAACAGAGTCACAGTGAATCAGGATGGTCCGGCCTGCCACAGCTCAATCATTCTGATTCAGGTCAACGATCACTGCAGGAGAGTCTGCCGCAGCATGAACCTGACTTAGTACCAGCAGGTGGCTACCACGCTCAATGTACGTTTTGCTTCTCCTCAAACCGTTTAGCAAGATCTATTAATGTTCTTCCACTTCAAGCTCACGGCCCCCAGCTGGGGTATGGCGATGATCTTCAGGCCGCTAATTCCTCTAACTCCAATGTGCATGAGAGCTCAGATAACGCAGAGTTATTTAACTACGGTCATGGTAAATGTTGTTTGATATTATCGTTGTTCGCCACATTTACGTTTGTCATTTTCACGCAGGGTATCACAGTCTTCACCTATACGACAGCTACTCGAACATTCCCTGGCAAGGCTACAACGACGGTAGTACTAGCACCAATTGTGAGTTTCGTTATCATTCATTTACACTGTCTCAAGTTGCTCATAATTTTCAAGTTGGTGCTCATGGTGACTACCTGTCTGCAGGCAGCAGCAGTCAGTTGCATATGGAGCCACCGCCGCATACATTCCCAGATGGGCACAATGCAGTCGTCGTCCCTCACGCTGGTCCCGTCCCTCACGCTGGTCCCGTCCCTCACGCTGGTCCCGTCCCTCACGCTGGTCCCGTCCCTCACGCTGGTCTCCCTCACGCTGGTCCCGTCCATGACTCCACGGCTCCGCAAACCATACACAATCTTCAACTCCCTGCTGACACCTATACTATGGCGTCCAGCAGCTCGCACAGCGAGTACTACTTCGCGACATCTCACACCGACTTGAACGACCCTCAGCCCCCCTCCGACCCCATGCCTCATGTGACTCAAAAGTTGGGCCGGAGTGTTCGACCGAGCAGCCGTAAAGCTACGAGCTCTCGGACGAAGTTTCTCACCTCCAAACAAATCCCCCAGGAATCACCTTTGTCCATGATACAAACGCCCTCATCGCTGTCGCTAGGTTTCACATCGCCGGAGTTCATACGAGACGTAAAAGAGGATGCTCGAACGACTATGTTTAAGTTTTTGTTCCAAGAAAACCTTTTCCCGTCCACGACAGAGAACTCCGCTATCGCTAAGAGAGCACTGGACGATACGATCGCTCGGTACTCTACCACCAAAGGTGTTAATGGGGTCGACCTCGTCCATTGGAAATCTGGGCAAGATGGTAAAAATTTACTTGCGAGGATGAAAGCGGTTGTGAAGGAAATACACAGTGACTTCGAGCAGGTCGCTACGTTCTCCTGGATATCTGCCTACGCATTGAGTCACAACATATCCATGACTAAATTTGACATGGAAACAGCGTGGATCACAAGACTGACTGCCCTACTGTCAAATTTTCTATTCGCCGATGAGGTCATTCAGGTAGGTCATAACGAAATTTTATTTTCGTGTCGTGATGCATACTCATTACAGATGACTATGGACAACGGGAGAATTATAACGTACCGAATCCCGTTTGGCCACCCGGCCGTCTTTGACTTGCTAGAACATATAATAAACAACATGCAGTACTCTCGTTACGTTCCCTTCGACCAAGAGGACTGGAAACGCTACCTCACCAATGCCATCTTCCTTGCAGCAACTTCACGTGGTTGGTCGCTGGAGAAAGGTTTGGCGGGCCCTTGGTCTGGGGCTATAGTGTTTGAGTCCGCGGAAAACAGGGCCCGTTACAAGACCATGAAGTCTCGCCTGCCCGCGTTGTCTGATGATGAAACGTTGAGGTTTGATGGATTGTTGGTTGACATGCGCCGTGCACTAGTAGGGTAACTCTAGATCCTGAAAGTACGTCTTTCACTAGACTCGGACGCTGGCGATTGGCGACACCAACGCCAAACTTGGCATCCTCGTCCCTAATGCTCACAGGCTATTATGCAATGTATAGGTAGCACAACTTCGGATAGGCTCAGTTCGACCAAAGGACTCGGATGACATGATAACATTTGTACATTTAGAACCACGCAAATACTGAGCGTAGCGTAGTAGCAAAAATAACAGACAGTTGCGAGGAAACAGAATCAACTCACTTTTGTCGAGCATCCTGGAGAAGTCGCGTGAAGTGTGTTATGCAAAGCGGTTGTTTGGATCCAAAGGATTTGCCAAACAACGGCAGGTCTAGATTAGTTTGTTTCAAAAGTCGTGTAATGTGACGCATAGGTGAGAGAATATGAGTACCTTCAATAAAACTAGCACGTCTGGAGTAGTGTTAATTGTCTTGAGTGATTGTGATATGTCGTAGTGTTGTGGAGAACTGGCACGGTGCTCTAGAATTGTTTATCGGATGCGAAAGCGGCTTTCCGTCGGAAAGCCTTAAAAAGTCATACAATTTTGGTAGCAATATGATGTTGGATTATATAGCCATATCTACGATCTCAAGGACTTGACAAACGAGAACATACACCAAGGTTGAGAAAAGTGGATATCTATCCATTTGTTCCTGTGATCACGCTCCCCTGCAGTCTTGCCACAAACTTTGATCATACTCCTGTATTTTGATATAATTCATACATATTCCATCGCGAAACAAATATATTTGGGTATCCATAGTATTACAGTGCGATATCCAGATTATATTTGATTACAATAGCCATGTCTACAATATCAAGGACTCATTGGTTCACTGATGAGTCTGTGACTGGGAGTAGATCATGTCATACAATCGCAGATTAGGCAGTGCTGTGTGAGCTCGGGTCAAAATTTCCAAGAGATGTACGCCAGACTAGTCACGAATCTAAGTGCTGGCAAAGATTTCGTGTCCTCGATTCCCGTGCTCAAGTGATATATATTATATATATGCGGCAGTGTAGGTACGTTGAAGTAGGAGTTGCACATTCGGGGTCTCCACGGTCCAAACACTAGTCAATTGATCACAGCTTGTCTGTCTCGCTCTTGCTCAGGCCGCTGGCCCCTGCTTCAACGTGTAAGTTTTGTAGTCTGCCAATGACTTCTTTGCCTATCCGACGGATTCATTCGTACAGGATGAAAGCTTACTGAAACACGATACCATCAGAATCAGCCTGTGGGCGCACAATCAGAAATGCCACTAGCGTGTCACAGGTTTATTGCCAGGCTTATTGTCTCCCGTGTGTAATTTCTCTTTCGATTTGAGGATGGTGTCGTATAGATATTCAAATATTTAAACGTTGCATCAATCATGATGTATCTGGCAGTGCAATACGTCAACATCACATAGTAAGTGCACAATGTATTGAACATGATGCGCTTTGGATTGGATTCGTTCTACACTTACCTTCTGTTTGTTCATCGTTTTCGATACAATCATAATGGCCCAATGATCCAAGTGTACGAGGTGCTATACCGCAGAATGGCCATTATTCCATAAGAGTACCCAATCGGAGGGATCCTACGCCTCCGGGCGCAATCAAATACCGATCACCGCCATGCTGATTTTGGTGATACTACAAGGGCTGTACGGTGGTATATCTAGCACGAATGCTGTTGTTATACACCACTAACCTTCCCCACTCGCTCACACCCATCCTCGAACATGACCTACGTCTTAAATGATCCCAGTTACTGGCCGTATATCAGTTTCAATACTTTTGTAAGCTATTGGACAGGTTTGTCGCAATAAAATGTCTAGATCCAACGTTGACTTTGTGGTTTTGCAGTTGCCGCCGCCGCCGTGGTGGTACATGATTGGGGTGAGCAGGACAGTGTTCGAAAATCGCTGATATTCTCATGATATTTCCAGTCTTAACACTCGGACAAGAGGTACGTCGATGTTATCGCCGGAGGAGTTAGCTCACTAAGAATGGTGTCATAGATTGAACTCATCTGGGTAAGTAACAAGAGTCCCATATCAGAGGAAAACAAGAGCATGCAATGATTTCGCGACAGAGACAACGCTGGTCTCTCATGACCGTGCTGTATTTGATTGTTCGTACCTCATGTTTTGCTTTAGCATGGTGGGCAACTTGTGCTGACTCCAAAATGTTCTAGATGCGCTATACTGCAATACCGTATTCTGTGTATGTGTCGAGATCAACAACTTTGCACTGTGCTAATAGCTCATCTCTGACAACTAGCGCCAATGTTCTGCGTATGTCTCATATGCGCTGTGTTCCATTTTTCTGATCGGCGGCACACAGAAACTATGCCATCGGTATCGCTGACAGACGCAGTGAGTATTCTGCAACCATCTCATTCCCATCCAATCAATACGCTCATATGTAGGGGTGAGTGAGATCCAAAGCGTTGAACTTGGCTCAACATAATGACTCAATAGATGTAAGTAAGAGTCTTTAATACTGTGCGAGGGCGTTCACTAATTGAGAGTTTTAGGCGCTATCACGTACTACACAACAAGTGGGACAATTGTGGCCTTGACTGCCATTTTGGGCGGTAAGTTGTCCAGGTGCAATATCTCTGTGATATTGACCTGACTGACACACGATGCAAGTGATCATGATTGCTCGGTTATATGCCATGTATCATGGATCTAGGACGATGCTTATATTCCTTGTTATTATCTTCCTGGCTGTAAACATCGCCTGCGCAGTAATCGCGGTAATAGGATTCAACGATGTTGTAGCAGGTAAGTTTTACTGTTGACTTGAAGAACACGGCTCATTGGACAAACACCAGTGAAGTTCATACTCTCTGGCACGTATATGTGCTATTATACATTTGGAGGGGACGAGCAGCTTCTGTTTTCGATGACTTGGATGCTCGCCACTGTTTGGGAGGTCCTCGCATTATGTCTTTCAGTTTGGGCTGCTGTGAAACACTTCCGTGAGCTGCGACGACTCGGCCCATCGACAGGATCGACCATCGGGGATTGTTTCACAGTGCTGATACAATCTCACATTCTTTATTTTGCAAGGTGAGCTGATAATGTGAACCGGTTGTATTTTTGTGCTCAAGTTCGGCACATGTTAGCTTTGTCGGTGTGTCTTGCGTCCAGCTTTCTTCTCTCTCTCCAGAATTCTCGGTGCGCTGGCCTGTTGCTGATATCTGCGCATAACCACTGCTCATCTGTTCCATAGAATTCAGAAATCTATTGGAGTTCAGATACTCAGTGGTTCTCTTCAAATTTTATTCGTCGTGCAGATATTTGTGCTGGGACCACGCCTCATCCTGAGCGTTCGACAATACCACGCCAAACTCGTGGCATATTCAGACGCAGAAACTAGCATGAATTCGATTGTTTTCCAGGAGCGTATACATGTATCGACTAGCAGTACCGTGTAGGGAGATGCTTGCCGAGTGGTCTGCAATGAGGAGACATTTGATCGAGGATCCGTCATAGTATTTATTTAACATATAGGGTTTCGAAGTAGGTCTAGGCAAAGCTATTTCTTGTCATATCACTACTGGAACGAAGCGCTTGAACCAAGTGGTAAGGGGAAATTATCCGGAACGTCCAGTAACCAAACTGGTCGTTGATAGCCAATTTTTAAATACAAGTTAACGAAAATCAGTAGAAGAGTCCTGACATTTGCGTGTTCGTGGAGTTTCACTGCCTGAATATATAAATGATGAAGTTACTGCGAAGCCTGAAGCCAGATGGGTGATAACTCATCGCTGCTCAGATGGGCCACGGGGAATGAGATGAATGAATTGCATAGACCCGTGGCTCGACTGTACGTCTCTCTCGCGAATGAGCATGACAAGGATATGGGTCTGCTGAGTGATAAGTAGAGAATCAGAGAATGTCAAAAGGCCTCAAGCGTACCTATCAAACTACACACCACATCAGTAAACTACAACTTTCTCACAGAGGTCACACACATGGGGCCTCACAACAGTAAGTCATGAGGCTCCACAGTTCACACAGGCTCACAGTTCATAGCGACACAACAATTACAGTCGCTCATAGCTAAACAAGACTCACAGTTAAACAGGGCCAAGGTCATAATCTAGTACTATAAAGTTGTTTGACTTGAGGCTCAGCCGGACTCGAACAAAAGTGTGACAAGAATTGATTCGGAACATATGGCTCAAAGCTACATAGCATAACTATGGAAATACCAAATATATAGACAAGGACAACATAACACAAAATGATGATACAAGACCTCGAATAATCAATCAAGAATTATTCCAGAACATCGCCCGTGTAAACCTTCCAAGTGTGAAGCATTAGAATCAACAATATTGCAAGAGAAAGGACACACGTACCACGCAAACTTGATGGACCTTGTTCTTGTGACGGACGACTGGGAGGGATGTGGGACCAACCGTGGTCTCTAAAAACAACTCTCATACATCCCAGCCCAATATGTGTCTGATCTATCATCTTCTCGGCTGCTGCTGCACGGACTCTGAGCAGGCTCGCAAACACCTCATTTTCCCGTATCACGCAGTCTGCAAGCTCTTTCTGAGCGAGGAAGACATCGTGCTTGGCTCTTGCAAGATCCAGCACAAGGCTTGCCTCGGTGTTAGTTGGTTCATGGACTCCGGGCTATTCCAATATAAGGTGTGATGAAAAATGGCGGAAATGACGACTCGGATGGACTCACAATTGAATTTACAGCTTCGAGAATTTCGTATAGGTCACATATACCACGAGGTGCTCCCTCATTGTATTCGTTATTGGAGCGAGAAGAATCATCAGGGCAGGAAGCAAGTGCTGACAGTGATCACAAAGTAGCGATATTAAACTTGAGTGATGAGGATGACATGTCAGTATCTGGAAAATGCCGAATTCAAATCTGATTTTGTTTCGCTAAGTCCGCGACTCAGAGATATCAATATCAGCGCCTGAGCGCCATGGCACTAGTTCCAAGTCATTGCCCATCGTGCGGAAAGCAATTCAAGGACCATACCTCCGTCGCTCGTCATATGAGCCAACCTCGTTCTGGGTGTAATAGCTGGCTAGACGACTTAATCCAACTCAACTCCATCTTGCCACCTAGTACGGAACATGATCCCATGGTGGTGGACGACATCAATGACCCTCAAGTAGATGCGAGTTCCTATGATTTTTGGAGTCAAGGAGAGGATTTGGACTCTGAAGGTGGAACTTGGGACGAGGACAGTGAGGTCAAAGCAACCGACTACTTTCCGGAGCCCCCGCTGGCTTTCGAAGAGGGTTACACATTTTTAAGCTTATTCGATGCTGACGAAAACAGTATATATCGCAAAACAAATCTCTACTATCCATTCAGTGGTAGGAGGGAATGGCGACTTGCCGCGTGGCTTCTGCGTTCGGGCTTAAGCATGGAGAAAATAAATTCCTTTCTAGCGCTAGAGATGGTCAGTGTTTGATTTAATATTGCGATGATCACTTCTCTGAGACGGTACTTAGATCGATGACCTACCTTTATCCTTCCATTCAGCAAAAGAGCTACATGGTCGAGCTGAATCGCTGCCTAGCGGTCCGCGTTGGAAGTCCCAGGTCATTCAAACGTTGCATCCCACAAAGTCTCCGGCTGTTCTTTACTGGCGGGATCCTCTTGAATGTATCGCTACGATATTCAACCATCCTTTATTTTGCAATTGTCTCGACTACACGTCTCGCAAGGAGTATAGCACAACGCAGAGGCACTCTCGGATATATACCGAATGGATGACGGGTGATCATGCCTGGGAGATGCAGGTATGTATTAGTCCCTCTTGAAGTCATCATCTCATTTGTTCTTGAAGTCAGCGCTTCCCCGTGGTGCAACTCTCCTCGGAACTATTCTATCGTCGGACAAGACATGCATTACTGCATTGTCAGGCGATCGTGTCGCTGCACCCTCTCCTCATCAGCCTCGCCAACATCTACATGACCACGCGGCTCAAATCATCCTCCAACGCTTTCCTTCTCACTGCCCTACTACCGGTCACAAAATTTGTTCACAAAAACAAACGAATGAGAGGCGTGTTGCAGGATCGGCTCGTTCACAATTGCTTGAACATCGTACTCGAACCGTTGAAGCTCGCTGCTCGAAATGGCGTGATGATGTCAGATCCTATGGGTCGCAGTCGTTACTGCTTTACTATGCTCGCTAGCTATATTGCTGACACCCCTGAGGCAATGATGCTGGCATGCGTTGGTGGAAAGACATCTCCAGTGACGATAGCAATGTACAAACAATTCGGGGATCCCTTCCAGCATGAACCCCGGACTCGAGCAAAAACTCTTGAGCAATTGAAAATCGTGCGCTCACGTGCTTGTCCAGATGATCTCGAAGCATTTTTCCGTGAGGCGCAGAAGTTTCAGCCTAAATGGCGTGGATGAACCATTTTGGTGGGACTGGTTACTAGCAGAACCGTCCCGGTTTTTTACACCCGAATCGCTTCACCACATTCACAAGGAGTTTTGGGACCATGATGCGCAATGAATTATCCTTGCAGTGGAAAAGTCTGAAATAGATTTTCGTTTTTCAATCATTCAGCCCACTACTGGTTATCGGCACTTTCATACAGGTATCTCAAAACTTAAGCAGGTTACAGGCCATTGTCACCGAGACGTCCAGCAGTCAATTATCGCAGGTCAGCGCGGATGCAGCACCTCCCGGTGTTGTTGTTGCTGTACGCGCACTCATGCACTTTCGATATCTTGTGCAGTCGCCGTCTATTGATGATAGGGATCTTACTCGTATCACAGCCGCACTGGACGAGTTCCATGCGAACAAGCACGCGATCATTGCTGCTGGTGTCCGCCAGGGCAAAGGTGGTAAAGTTATCGACAACTGGCATATTCCAAAACTCGAACTTATGCAGAGTATCGTCCCCAGTATCCGCAACTCCGGCGTCATTGCACAGTGGTCTGCAGATGTCACTGAACATGCGCACATCACCGAGGTCAAAGACCCTGCAAGGTCCAGCAACAACAACAATTATGACCCACAAATCTGTCGTTACCTTGATCGCGCTGATAAATGCAATCGATTTGACCTCGCCACAAGCCTGTTAGATCACTCGGAGGACACGGGAGTTGTTGGGGAGGAATTTGTCGAGGAGGATGACGAAATCGATTATTACACGGATGTCATTCCCACAGAGCTACCATCCCCAACTCGAAGACCTGGACAGCCTCGTCCTATCACGGATTACTTTTCAATTGCCAAAATACTCCAACAGAAGGAAGTTGGATCGGTACCTGTCCCACTTCGTTCTTTTGTCGTCAGACGCACTGCTCTTCATCTCGCTTATGATCCATCCATCAAGAACACCACTGTCGATGAAGTTGCGATCATGTTCGGCCTTCCTGACTTGCGACCTGCTATTGCTGATTTTCTTTACCGTGAAGCGACCTACGGTAGTCACATTCACTCGATAGGTGGTCCTAGAAGGGCTGCGCATGACGCCGAGCTCCCGTTTGACAAAGTTCAAGTGTGATTTAAAGTTCGTTTGCAGGAGACTGAGTTTCACGATCCTCATATCATTCGACCCGCTCAAACGCTTAATTGCACACCGCCTAGTGACCCTTGGACATTAGGTCGTTATGATACAGTTATCATTCAGACCAGCTCAGGGCACTCCTGGCCTGCCAGCGGCCTTTCAGGTACATTCTTTCTGTTTTTCATGGTAATCTTCACTAAGCCAAATAATGATCCCCTGCAGGGCACTCCATTGCGCAAATTAGGCTCGTCATTCGCCCTGTTGGCAAAAGCAAGACACGATGGGCATGGGACGATCAGTACTTAACTTACGTCCAACGTTTTGATATTTCCAGTGAACACAATCCGACCACTCAATTGCACACAGTGAAAAGAGCAAAACGCTCTAATGGTACACGGATGGGCAACATCATTCCAGTCTGTCAGTTTAAAGCGCCTGTCCATCTCATTCCTCGTTTTGGTACTACTGCGGACACGCGTCTCACGGCGTACAATAGCATGGAACACGCCACGGAGTTTTGGCTGAATTATTTTTGGGACAAACATACCTTTTTTGCACTATCCGAGTAGTACTTGCACCAAGTCTATACTTGATATGCACCATTTTCGTAGGCTAAAAGATATACTTATGTACTTCAGTATTCCGTTGTTGAATGTCATTGTTGCTCTTACCTGGCACTAGCTTGAAATCATGGCACCCGCAGAACACAGTAAAACTGTAGACTTTGGGATGAAGTTAGCATCGCTGATGTCGGCTCCTCGCGTCAGTGATGTGCCTACGCTGGATAAACTCACCGATCTCGAGCTTAATCACTTAATCGTTGAAGAAGAAGAACCAGCCGATGCTGAGCAGCCTCTCAGCTATATATTATCATGGATTTTTAGGACATTCACCCTTGAAGTCCCAGACGTCACAGAGCTCCAGGTTCCATTACATAAAATTCGTTATCGTGACTCCAGACTACACGATAAATTTGCTCACCTTGATGAACAGTCCATGGTTCCCTTGTATGACGACGTCAACTGTAGATGGAACTGGGCCCTTCCAAAGTCGCACCATGAATCTGGCATTGATCAACTACCCGATCTTGAAGAGGATGGAGACGGAGAAGAGAATAGTGGGGGAAACTTGGAGTTTGGGAGTGGGGAGAGCCCATTAACTCAACACCCTCCGGGGGTCAGCACTACTGGCAATGACAGCCCCAAACCACACACATTGGAAGATATCTTCTCGGCATTCTTTAACATCACATGTGCTGCTGTTGCCCAGAAGAAGCGAACAGAAGTTATGGTGGCAAACAGCGGAGCAGTCGTTTGCACTTGGAGTGCATGCAACTCCGTGCGCCCCGTGAAGGATCAAGAAGTCATGCGGAAGCCTGACCTTGCATTGTTGGACGACGTGGAGGCTCGCTGGGATACCATTAAAGCAGTTTGTGAGTTGACGTCGCAAGTTTACACACCCACAGGCACAATTGGAAAGACGATTGACAACAAGGCTTACCTTCTACTGAGACGCCAACCTTGGAGGCGTTTTGTCTTACTTTGCTCCCTTACCAATGGATATCGCGAACTGCAAGTCCACATGTACGACCATGCAGGTGGTGTCATGACGCCTCCTATCCATATCGACAATGCTCCAAATCGTTACCTGCAAATCTTATCCAGCGTCGTCTTCGGTAGTCTTGAGTGTATTGGGTATGATCCTTCCATCAGTATATTTACGAAGACGCTTCGCCCCGCTCAACTCGAAGATCCAACTTCTCGCCCTTCTACGAACAGACCACCTGCACAAGGTCCCCAGGCAGGAAGTCTGATTGCAGGCACTGCAACACCCGAGTCTGCCTTGGGGACAGACTCAAACATGGAGATGTCAGATGAGGAAAGCCTCCCCATAGACCCCCCTCAGTTAGAAATACCCCAAGATCCCCTTCGTGCCACTTTTTCAACCCCGATCGGCAGGATCATAGTCAACGACCATGCATATGATATTCTCGAACTCATATTCTTGAGTCAGGGGCTCGTTGGGCGCGGTACCGTGTGCTATTTAGCCAGGAGGAATGGTAAAGAATACATCATCAAGGATCATTGGGTCCTTGGGGGTAAAGATGTTGCGTTGAATGAGGTTAAAATGCTGGGGGAGATGTGAGGGGTCCGTGGCGTGCCAGAACTGGTCGAGTATTGGCTTGTCGAGATCGCGCCCAATGAGGTTGACGAAACGATGAACTATCGATACAAGGTTTTTGGAAGTATCAGAGGCACCTCTCATATGCATGTTCATTTGGTTTTGAAACCTCGTGCACGACCTTTGCATGCATTCCGGACAAGAGTAGAGCTGGTGAGCGCTCTTCGGGACATCGTCAAAAGTATGTATTTGTTTATGTCTGATCCGCTCTGTGTTCTAATGACATGTTTCTCAGTTCAACAGACAGCGGTCGAGGAACGTGGAATTCTTCACCGTGATTGTAGTGTCAATAATGCTATGATTGAGGATGATGGCAATGGTACCAACGGACTCCTGATTGATTGGGAATTCACGGTGCATATCCATGCTGGCCAAAAATACGTTATCGGTGGGACGGTCAGTACTAGTTATTCTCTACAAGAATTCATGCTCACAGCGAATGTTAGGGCACATTGCCTTTCATGTCACGTTCACTTCTGTGGCAGCTTTCAGAGGCTGTTGGCGACCCTGCAACATCTGCTTGCAGCTGGAAGGTGAAGGTTGCCACGTCTTCCCTTACAAAACCGCCCCCCCTCATCCTACATCACTACCATGATGATTTGGAGTCGCTTTTTTACGTCTTGGTGTGCATCTGCATTGAATTCAGGGGTCCTCTTGGAGTTAGACGTGATCTCTCAGCTGATAGGAGTCAAGAATGGCTACCGCATCTATGGTCCACCAGCACGTTACAAGTTGGTGGCGATGTGAAGACTTCGTTTTTTTTTCACCCAAACGCGCACAAACTGCAGAAACAATTCCACCCCTACTTCAAGACACTACTCCCACTCGCAACGGAATGGTACCACCTGATCAGGAACAAAGGACAGTCAAATGCAGTAACTTTCCAGGAGGTCCTCGATCTGTTGGATACACATCTTGCCAAGCTTCCGAAGGACGAGCCTTCCCCCGAGCTTCTGTTCGCAAGGAAGGTTATTGCAGCGCTGCCGAAAAAGAGACAGGCCAGTGACTTTGAGGAGGGTGATCGGGTTGATCATCATCTCGACCAACCATCCCAACCATCAATTACTGAACGTCCTAACCAGATTCCTGGTCGGATGGGCTGGACAATGGAAGTTATGCCCCAGTCCAAACGTAACAGAACTACATAATTTACTACAGTCGTCGTCACCTTCATCCATACTAGAGTAATACCCCCTCCTATGTATACCGTTTTGACATTGAAATATTCTCACGAGTCATAATATCTCACACCCGTCCCTAACTTGATACACTCACTACACACATTTACTCCCAGCCTATCGACTGACTGACTCCTCATATGAGACTCTTGGACTCGGCTAGCTTCTCATCAACCCCATTCGCGACCCCCGGGCTGCGCTGTATTACATTTGGTGTGCTTCAAGTTGTCCAATGATGTATTTACTTATAGTTATTTTCAAGCGCTTTTCAAGCTGCGATGGTGGATTATATTTAAAAGTGAGTATCAGTAAGTTATAGGTCCAGTGGCTCACTTCTCCCCCTTCGCTAGTCATGCCTGGAAGCCCTAAGAAAAAGAGAACGAAGTGCAAAGCTACGGACTCTGATCTCAAGGCGCTTGAAGGGCAAACAGCTCTAGCAAAGAGAGCGCGTGCTCGGGCTAATGCACCATCTGCATCAATTCTCGATCAAGGAGCTGATTCACAGCCTCCTCGACGATCAGGACGCCCAGGCGCAGGGACAGGAGGTAGGGGAGCTCAACTGGAGAAACTGGGCGATATCTTGCATGCTCCAGTGCGGATCAGCCAATCCAAGGGTGCCACCTCCCTTGATCCGAACGCTCCTGCAAACCCTCTCGCTCCTGAACCGACTCGCAAGGGTCGCGGGAGTCGTTCCAAGGTATCTTTTCTCTTTGTTCGTGTTCAACAATACTAAAGAGACATAGAAGAAACAACCCCCTCCGCCATATAGCCCTTTGGTGGAACCAGACACCACGACTCTGAAATCACGCTCGAAGAAAAACAAGGTGAGTTTCTACTGTGTGAACAATCACGTATTAATTCATATATGCAGGATACTGTCGTTTCTGCTCCGAGCTTCAAACTCAACCATCAGCCAATTTTTTTGCAGTGGGAAGCTGGGGGACGATACAGATTTTCGCCACCGATTGTCCCTGCCGGTACAGAGCCAGATCTTCAAGCATTGAACAACTCCTTTGTGGCCGCAGCCAAGAAGGCGCACGCCCTGCCCGATTCCCATTCTTCTTTAAGTCAAACTCATGTTACTGCTCTTAACATATCCCAACCTCAGGTTCCTGTCACTACTCATAGCGTCCAAGATCCTATACTTTCCGGGACCAATTCATCTGCGATGCTACCAGATGTGAATTTTTACCAGAACTTAGATCCTGCCCTCCGGCTGCCTGTACCGCAAAGTATAGAATCTGAACAGTCTGACACATCAAAAGATGATTCATCTGGCTTGGATGAAAGTAGCGGGGACGAGCAAATTGGTTGGGGAGAAGTTCACGGGCGTCATAGTACACACCCTGGTAAGTCGCTGCCTATTTACGTTCAGGTTGAGCTGAACAGCGACAGGTTTTCTGAGAGAATGCTTACCACCTCAACCTCGGGTAGTCACCGCTCTCCCAACAGATTTCGAATTTCAGCACTCTCGTGATGAAGGTGATGAAGCAGCTGAAAACATTTTGGGAGTTGTTGATGATTTGAGTGAGGATTCGAGCGATGATGGTACAGCGATGAATCAAAAGAGTGCTCCCCAGGTATAAGTCTACTACTCTTTTGGAGTATGCTAATCTGTTGTTCAAGCCGAACGACATTTTGAAGCTTCATCACGAAAGAAACGGTCACCCCCAACTTCCTGATCCTGCTCTCCTGGAGCTTCTCTGTGTTGCTGAGGTCGATACCTCCAACCCAAAGGCGAAACAGAAACGGAAGCGGACATCGAAACATAAATCGAAGGTGGTCGATGGATCCGACAATGAAGAGCCAAAGGCCACCCAGCTGGGTTGGTATGGTCCACGCTGGAAGAGTTTTCTCGAGGACGCGAAGGCGGAGTGTCGTACTCAGCAGGCATTGGAGAACCCTTTCCCAAGCCTTGTTCATGATCTGCCAGTTTCAATCACAGAGTCTCTCTCAGCCTCTCTTGTGCAATGGCTAAAAAACGGCCAACAAGTTGACGCTGGTAAGCTACTATTTCTCTCCAGATATTCTACTGACTCAGGGTATCCACCAGGTGTGTGGCCCGCTCATAAGCCTGACATGGCGAGACTGGTGCGTATATCCATTTTGTAGTGCGCTTCATATCTTATTTGTTTTTTTAGCTGTATGATGACTTGGCAACTTGGCGATCTGATCTCAAAAAAATCGTCATCTCCGTTACGCCTTCAGCATACAGTCTTTCCCCACCAGTTGACATTCCCGCTCAAGAGCGTGCAGCTTGGGTTGAGGTCGCCGCCGCAGAATTACTGGCCGATGGTAGATTTCTCCGCCATGGAGTCGACGAATTGGGGAAAACCAAGAACTTTGCTCACCCTGCGCTTCTTTAGGCCATCATTCTTTTTTACTATACTGGGTCTTATCGCATTGCTCATAGGCGACCAGCCATTTTTCGGAAGGAGGTTCCATTAAAATGCCTAGCTCTCGTTTGCACCGCGGTACGTCCAGGATATTGACGTTTCAACATTCTGACACATTACTTTCAGTTTCATTGCGTCTTCCAGGGCCTCAAGAAAAACGGCAATGGCAAGTCTTATTCAAAATTTACCTCGAAGGAGTACGAGTCCATCTATCATTCGATGCTTGAGCTACTTGATGCTGTCATGAAAGACCCATATCACGGTCCGAAGCTGGTGCAGCAACTCCGTGAATGGGCCAAGATTGGATGGTAAGGAGGCTTTTACATAGTGTTCAATACTGATGAATTTATTCAGGGCAGAAACATCGAAACTCGACGGCGTTGACACATCCAAACATCGCCACCTGCGCGTCCAACTCGATTGAGTTCTCCCGTCTCCTGGCAGTGTCAATCGTCACACATCATATTCTTGCGCATATACTTTTACCTTTTTGCTCGTTGTCTGCTAGTATCGTGTTTCGCGCTGATTGAATTTATTGTCGTTTGTTTGCTACTATTGTACCCGAGTCGAGTGAGCTTCTGAGTCATTTGTGAGTATCTGTGCGAGCATGGACAGATCTGTACAAGACAAGACAGAAAAATGAGCTACTGTACCCGAGCCGAGTGAACTTCTGAGTGGTTTGTGAATATCTGCATGAACATGGACAGATCTGTACAAACAGACAGAAAAATGATGATATTCAAGACCTATTTGGTCCTCACTAGGCAGGTTTGTGAGGGTCTGTGCAGAGGTTGACAGAAAAAGCTCTACTGTAGTGAACTAGCTAGAAGGGACCAAGCTGTGCACATGGCGCACTGTCCAGATCTGGACAGATCTGGACAGAGCCCAGTGATTTACTGATGCAGTCCATGGCATAGTAATGCATTAAGTCTGCTACTTAGAAGAGTGAACTCATGCATTAACATTGCTCGTTAGCATGTAATATGATGCATGATAATATGCTCACTAGCAGACAGTACCTGTCATTCTAAGCCTGCCTCTCGTATGTATTGTTGTCAGATCTCAGATGGTGCCGGTGAGTTTGCGGCAACTTAAGGCTCAAACAGTCAATGAAAGCCGGTGAATGTGACATTGAGCAATATGCATAATATAAGGTACACTATGCATCAGGGAAAGCCTCTGCCAGGAAATTCACCGAAATATTCAAACTCGAGCTTAAAACGGTTGAATTCCAGGAAATGTAGTATTTTCACAGAAATCATTGTATTTCAGATGAATGTAGTTGATTCTAGTACTAGTCAGATAATAGTTAAATAAGCATGCCTGTCGCTGAACGAGTTTACGAAGAAGGTAGAACAAAGCTCCAGAACGGTACTACTGGTCCATTCACGAGGTGCTACAGGGCCGAATTTTGGAATAAGATGTACACTCCTGCGAATATCAGAAATGTCAATGATGCTTGCCAGACGCTCTCCATTACGAATGAGGCGGGAAATTTTATACAAACCATGGTTTGCTTCAGGCTGCCCGAATGGCGTGAACCATTCCACATATGCAAAGTGGGTAGGCAAAATTCCAGGTGTGTGAAATAAGGCAGCTGTAGCCTGGCTTGTCAGCGTGAAGATGATGCGCACTTGTGCAACACGATACCCTGATATTGATGATCAAATATTAGCATGATGTTACAAGGGATTAGTACAAAAAACACGCACCATCAACACCTGTCGTCCCACCACCATCTTCGTTAACTAAAACCGTGTCGAAGCGCGCAGGAACTATCTGCCTTCTTTTGTCCTTTCGTGGTGGCTGACAGTGCACTGAATCCACGGTAACGGTTGAATCACGATGTCCGTGAGCATTGATTGCGTGGAACTTGACCCTATGGAATGCGGCAACAGTCTGGAAGGGAAGGATGACATGGGAAGCTTCTTGTTCAAGTTGCGCTGGAGAAAGGCCAGGTTGATTTGTGCGAACGACATAACGAGCTAATGCTTCAGTGAAAAAAGTGGCGCCATAGTCGCGAACTACACTATCCAATGGAACACGTCTAATAGTTGGGTGTTTTGTCATCTTGATCGAGCGACAATAGTCCATGTCGGGCGGTAACCTGTCTTGTGGAGGAGGATCGCCAGCAAGGCGCCATTGGACAAAATTATTGTGCCATAACATCTTCTTGCGTCTTTCAAGCCAGAGTGTCATTTGCGTATATTCGTCTTTATGGTTAGTAGCTCTGTAAGCATCCTTTGCGAGATCAAATCTTCTTCATCATAGTTGCCAAAGTAGTCCCCTGTAAATTCAGTTAATGCTGGTGGTTCAAAGTCGCTGTGATCATCATCTGTATCCATATAAAAACTAGAATGATGTTGAAATAGAGCTGCACATGGCGGATTTTTCGTAGTGGCAAGATGATGAGAATGGCCAGCGAGCTCGAAGTTCTTAGCGCAGCCTGGGCAAGTGATCATTCTGGTGGTAAAAAAACAAGGGCCATAACAAAGACAACCTACAGCCACAAACAAAGCTTCAAGCAAAGTTCAGCGGACTACGAACTTTGTCAACCCTGCCCATGCAAAGTTCAGCGGACTATGAACTTTTTTCTTTAACACTGCCCACCAACTTGACCGCTACATTCTTTTTACCCTCAGCGTCCTGTATCATTCAATTTCATAGCAGTACACTCTTTGAAAAGAGAAAACACTCATTCACCTTTTAAAATGCCTCCCTGTCCATCTGAGATAGCTGCTCAGAAGCGGAATGCTAAAAAGAAAGAGAAAGTAGCAGCAAGACAAGTGTCTTCCGGCACTGAGGTCGTAACCCCAGACATAGCTGATGACATCGCAGATAGCAGTGAGTACAGAGGCTGTCATAATCAGACCCAAAAAAACTCACATTCTCGCAAAGAGCTGCAATGGTCTTCAAAGAAAAAAGCACTGGAGCGCAAAGGTGAGCGCCTAAACCCATATTGTGCAAAAAAAATTATGCTACATACCTATGTCAGTCTGGAATGATACAACCAGCAATAATCACAAGCGTGCACCAACGGTGACTGAGCTTCTGTCTGCGCCTGCAACAAAGTCAGTAAGGAAGACACTGAAAGCAGTCGAAAAGACACAGAAAGCAGTTGAAGGTGGTGGTCGTGAGAGAAGCAGTATGTGTGGCCTCTTTAAAACTGAGTCGAAGTGATACTCAACTTAAAATAGGTGTAGCTTCCACTCTCACGAGTCACAATGGTGTGTCAGTTGACACCGACGACTCTGCGAGTGAATATGGTATCAGCGACTCTGAATCCAATAAGTCAGATGTCAATTAGTGTCATGTTTCATTGTCGATATTGATGTCACTGCCCAGGGTAAAGTCCTTGGTGATCAACCTTTCTGCGACGAGGCCATGATCGATACGCTACATCAGTCATTGTTCGACGGCGAAGAACTCGATCGGAGTTCAATCACATGAAGATTTTGTGTCGGTCTTAGATGGCAATGATGAGCCGGAGCTCCCCATAGCTATGGTTGCCTTGATTGCAACTGTTGTATGTTTTTTATTTGTATTTTCTAGATGAATACTTACTAAATGTGACGGTTGTTGCAGATCTATGCCATACTGATGGACTGGAGGAGCGGCAATCCACCATCGAGCTCTCAAGTCAAATCATTCAATGCTACTGTCTACATTAGCGTTTACAAAGCCCATGAAGCAACCCTCACTCGAATCTTTGAAGGCGGTAAAAAGAAGTATCATGCGCTGATGGCACGGCTTTACAAGGCTGTCTGGTGCGTTTCATCATCCTCTGATCGAATGCCTGCCATTAACATACTATGTTAGTGTGTCGGACAGTGTGTTGCTGCCATCTGGTGCGCTGAGCAACTTCGACTACCTCGATCTCAGTGCAATGTCCGAGGATTGAATTAAGGTTGTTGTGCCATGTGCACCCGCGGATACCCATGTATTACTGATCTCACTTTGTACATTTTGATAGTCGTTCGTACATACTGACAGGCCATTCTGATCCAATATAATGTTGATTTTCGTGTATTTTGACAATGACCGACGAGTGAATTCGAACTAATTCATTAGTATTCAGAAGAAATCACTTGGAATTCGAACTAATTCGTTGAAACTATGACCGGACTTAAATAAAACAGTAAAACATGATTTCGCTGAAAATCAAAGGAAAACCAGGGATTTACTGGAAATTACCTCGATTTCGGGGGGAAGGCTTTCCCTGATGTGTGGACAGAAGCATCAGAAGGCAGTACATGTATCTAAGCAACGACACAGGATTAAGTTGACATTGTTGCAGAGTCAATCGACGAAGTGATATATGGAAACAAGAAAAAGCTTTCCTTGAGCTGCCCGACAAAATATTATCTTGCATCACGCTTCGTTGACCATATATATGTGGAAGTCTGACTCGTCTATGACTCGATACATCAACTTGATAACTATTAGTGTACTTTATATACAAATGTCCAGATTAGCGACCATACATGCCAGCTGGCACCGCATTTGCAAAATTCATGACCTCATGCAATAACATCACTCGTATTTTCACGCAACGAATATTCATTTGATCGATGTATGCATCATGATAATTAACACTTCATTTCTACTCGTCCGGAGCCACAGGAACAAACGTACCATCCTCCGTCGGCGGACATGGATCCTAGGTGTAAGAGTACTAGTGGCGCTTCAACATATCCAGATTTGCCACTGGCAAGATCAAACACGGTTCCTCGGTGTCCGACCTCCGCTCTCCTCCTAGTACCTGACATGCCATTCGTGCCTTTCGAGCCACTCTTGTACGAAACCAGGAATTGCCAAGGGAGCTGGACATCCTTTGGGTCAGCCTGTAACGAGTCTAAATGCAGGTTAATTAGTTCCTAGAGTGCATCAAGAAGCAGGCCAAGACAGGAATCACAGCCAAGAAAGAGGAACCACTAGACGGGATATCCTCAAATGCGAACGCCAATCTCGGGAATGCCGACTGTCGAAAATTGGATCCAGACAGCTGATTGTGCGAGACTCCCACAAACGATACATGAATCTATAGGAATGTTTGCTCGTGAGTTCCTCGTCGTCCAGTACGTCGCTTGGATCACCGTCATAGATGACAAAACAATGATCTTGGCACTCTAAGGTGTAGATGCCGGTCGAAGCCATATGGTAGTATGTGTTTGGATGCTCGTATCCTGATGGTGAAAACTTGTAGCCTCTTTGACTCCGCATGCAACAGTCAGTGCGTTGAACAGCTTAGATCATACACATACGTTGGTGTTTATCAATGCGACTGCAAAACACAGTCCTTCCTGCTAAGCACGACCGTAAGAGTTTGAAAGTGAAAGTGCCCAACGAGATAATCTGGACCGGACTCGGGCGAATAATTGTGAAGGGAAGAATATTGGGTCGCAGGGAGTTAGAGCTTATCATAGACGCAATCTCATAAGGAAAATCCCGCCTTGAACATTAGAATTGATGATTTGATCAAGTTGGGGTCTAAACGCGAGGACCAAAGGGCATGGGTTATATATGAAATACATGTCTAAGCTCGAGTCAAGTCCCCAAGAGACGTACGCCAGATCTTTAGGAAAGAATCTAAGGGCTGGCACAGATTTCGTGTCCTCGATTCCCGTGCTCGAGTTAAGGCTATGCGTACGGGAGACAGACTACGTAGGAGTTCCATGAGACTGCACATCCGGGGTCTCTACGGTCCAAACACTAGTCAATACGTAGACTAGGTTTCACCGCGCTCGCGTTAAGCTTGCATCATGATCACCGTGACAGCTTGTCTGTCTTGCTCTGGGCTCAGACCGCTGGCCCGCGCTCCAACGTGTAAATCTTGTCGTCCGCCAATGAATTCTTTGACTTGGCGGACTCACTCTTACAGAATGAAAGCTTACTGCCACACGAAACCATCAGGATAGCCTGTATAATCAGAAACAGGGCTTCTAACTTGGAGTGACAGGCTTATTGTCTCCCGTGTAAAATTTCTCTTTCGAGTTGAGGATGGTGTCGTATATGTATCCAAGATATGTCAATCACGAATCATCAATCATGATGTATCTGGCAGTGCAGTACATCACCATCATGTCAAGCGCATGATGCATTGAATATAGTGCGTTCTAGACCAGATTCGCTCCATCCTTGTTATATCTCTGTTCATCGTTTTGGATAACCCAATAGTTCAAGCGTACGAGGCGGTGGATACATTTTCTCCACTTCGACCTACTCTGTACGTTTCTTGTCCGACTTCTCTGGTGCTATGCCGCAGAATGACCCTTTTCCATAAGAGGAAGACTGTTGCGCATCGGTCCCGGCCTTGCAATTCTATGTATATGCTTGTCTCGATCACGTCACGCTTAAACCTGTGTTAGATTGATGGGTGCGATTTCTCTTTCGACCTAGTATGTATGGCGTCTTAGATTGAACGGTGGTATATCTAGCCCGAACGCTGTTGTTATAGACCACTGACCTTTCCCACTCGCCTACAATTATCTTCGACCATGACCTACGTCTCAAATGATCCAAGTTGGTGGCCGAGAATGAATCTCGTTATGTTTTTCAGCTATTGGGAAGGTTTGTTGCATCAAGATGTCTGGAGCTAACGTTGACTTGCGATTTTGCAGTTGCCGCCGGCGTCGTGATGGTATATGATTGGGGTGAGCAGGACGGTGTTCGAAAATAGCTGATATTCTCATGATATTTCAAGTCTTAACATTCGGACAAGAGGTACGTGAATGTTATCGCCGTAGCAGCCAGCTCGCTAAGAATGGTGCCATAGATTGAACTCATCTGGGTGAGTGACAAAAGTCCCGTATCAGAAGAAAACAAGAATGCAATGAATTTCCGACAGAGACAACGATGGTCTCTCATGACTGTGCTTTATTTGATTGTTCGTACCTCATGCTGTGCTTTAGCGTGGTAGGCAACTTGTGCTGACTGCAAGATGTTCTAGGTACGCTATATTGGAATACCGTATTCCGTGTATGTGTCGAGATCAACAACAGCTTTGCACTGTGCTAATAGCTCATGTCTGACAATTAGTCTCGGTGTTCTACGTATGTCTCATATGCGCCGTGTTCCATTTTTCTGACCGGCGGGACACAGAACTTATGTCATCGGTATCGCTGACAGATGCAGTAAGTATTATGCAACCATCTCATTCCCATCTAATCAATACGCTCATATGTAGGGGTGAGTGAGATTCCAAGCATTGAACTCGGCTCAACATAATGACTCAATAGGTGTAAGTCGGAGTCTTTGATACTAGTGCGAGGCTAATTGGGAGTTTTAGGCAAGATGACGTTCTACGGAGGGAATGGCATAGCTGTGGCCTTGGCTGCTATGTTGGGCGGTAAGCCCTCAGGTGCAATACCTCCGTGATATTGACCTGACTGACACACGATCCAAGTCATCATGATTTCTCGGTTGTATGCCATGTATCAGCGATCTAGAACGATGCTCGTGTTCCTTGTTATTATCTTTCTGGCTGTAAACATTGCCTGCGGAGTGATCACGATAATAGTACTGGTGGATAGTGTGGGAGGTACGCTTCACTTGTTGACATGAAGAACACGGCTCATTGGATAAACACCAGAGGAGTTGATCCTCTCTGGCACATATATGTGCAATTATGAATTTAAATTGAACTCCGAGCTTCTGTTTTCGATGGTTTGGATGCTCAACACTGTCTGGGAGGTCCTCGCATTCTGTCTGGCAGTTTGGATTGCTGTGAAGCACTGGTGTAGCCGGCGACGACTCGGACCATCGACAGGATCGACCATTGGGGACTGTTTCAGAGTGCTCATACAATCTCACGTTCTTTATTTTGCAAGGTGAGCCTGTAATGTGAACGCGATTATATGTTTCTGCTGAAGTTCCACACATGTTAGCTTTCTTGGTGTCTCTTGCCTCCAGCTTGCTTATTACTCTCCAAAAATCGCGGTGCGCTGACCTGTCGCCAATATCTGCGCGTAACCACTGCTCATCGGCTCTATAGAGTGCAGATTCTATTGGAGCTATGACACTTAGTGGTGCTCTTCAAATTTTATCGGCCGTGCAGATGTTTGTGGTGGGACCACGCCTTATTCTTAGCGTTCGAGAATACAACGCGACACTCGTGGCATACACCGACGTAGAAGCTAGCATGAATTCTATTGTTTTCCAGGAGCATGTACATGTATCAACTAGCAGTACTGTGTAGGGAAATGCTTGCTCAGTGGTCTGCAGGGAGGAGAAATTTGGTGCAGGATCCGTTGTGGTATTTATTTAACATATTGTATTCCGAAGTATATTTGAAAGGCCCAGGCAAACCTATTTCTTGTTGTATCCCTGCAAAAGTATCAGTGAACCACCAATTGTGAACTTTTAGAACTCTGGCATACATATTTTGATCATAATAGTGTCACCCATACAACTGCAAATCATGCGTCGGATGTGAATGAATTAGGGCCCTTGCAACGATTTGTTTTCATCTTGCCCAGCAGCACAACTGTAAGTAGTGCTGCTGCGGTTCGGTCCAGAACCACATCAGCAAAAAACCCCTTTTAATATTGGCGAAAATTGGATCATATTTTGTAAAATGTAGAAAATCATGTACCGTTTTCCCGAATGTGCGTCAATCCAATCCAATATTCAGCAAATTCGACTAATGTGTTAACTGAGCCACAGAATTTGCGCAAGTGAGGGAAAATTGTTTGGTACTGTTACAACATGCTACATGAGCCCCCAGCTACCAGACCGCCCTCTGCCACCTTGCATGGCAATGACACGATAACCGGACCTTTACACACGGGCGGTTTGGGAGTTTTCCATTATGTGAGATTGGTTTCAAAATGTCAGTGATAAAGTTAGCGTTTTTACAATACATTTTGACTCAGTAAAGATAAAAAATTTGGATGTGTGCCAAAATCCCAGGCAAAATTCTACATTTTATGTACCATTTTGAGCGCTATAAATTACAAAGTTTTGAGCGCAGGAAAGTTTTCCTCAGAATATCGTGTAACTAGGGACATTTTCCAATTGCAGAATAATCAAATTTTTTGCAAGTTAAAATGGGGTGCATAAAATGTGAACTTTTAGCATGAGAAAAATGACGTGGGCACTCATTGGGCACTCATTGGGCATTCATTGGGCACTCATTGGGTATTCATGTATTGGGTATATTGTCGAGTACAGGGAGTCTGCGAGAGTATGATATAAGTGTCTATCAGAATCTACTTTCCTCCATGAGGCATATCTGATCGAACCACAAAGTGAAGCTAATCCTAGCAGTAATCGCAATCTCAACAGTATTCTTCTTCATGTTGCACTTTGCGATAGTCATGATCTCACCACGAGTGTCGCCATCCAGGACGAGACACTTTTGGTTTTTTTTGTGCAGGTGGAGCTGGACTTAGATCAGTGACGGGGATATGATAGTGCTGAAGCACGGCTCTGGCACCACCATTGGATGTACAAAATACCATGATGCAGCCATCAGGTGTGGGTCCATTCTCACCGCAGAACAGGTCAGGACAAGCTGTAGATACAAAGCAATTATGCAGTCTGCCTCCCATGAAACTTGGTGACACTTCAAGCACCGCGTGATGACGAGTCAACTTCAATGCAAACTCCTTGTTCATCAACCAAGGTAATGGGCCTGTAATAAAATAAGCCAAATGTTAATAAGTCTACATTAGAGACTCACTGCCGTTTTGAGACTTCTCCTTTATATCTGCAATGGCGTCCTCAATGTCCTCTGCATTATTAGCAACCCAGGGGTCATATGTCTTGACATCAGCAGAAAGGCTATCTGCCGAATCATGGTTGTTATGGCCAGACCAGTTGGACCACTCGCTGGAGCTGGGATCCATACTAGAACTGGATGGGACTACGGGATCAGGTGGAGGGGTCTTGCTTCGACATGGCGGCATTATATACGATTTCTTCTGCATCTCGCAGAAAGAAATCATGTCCACACCTTCGAGTATTGCACCGTCTAACCTCATTCCGTATCTTAAATAGTCGTGAATAAAAATTAATACAACAATATGAAATGTGATCACCTAGTAGCAATGTCCTCATGTTTAACTGTAGTGCGTGCTTGCCCATGCATGGAAACGGAGCAGGTATCATGAGCGAGTTGGTATAGCGTGGCTCAGTAGCCCTTCCGTGCACCTCTGAGAATAAAGACTTCTTTACCAATGATGTCGCGAAATGAATGTGGGTTCACGACTTCTATCTCGTCCCCGATTTGAAGAGATTCAGGCTTGGGGAGAGGGTCGAAATCTGGCTGCATTGGCGGCCAGGATTGAAGAATGTGAGTCAAAGGACGATGAGCTAGATAGTACTTCGATACTTCCACCTATGTAATGTTAGACAGGTTTACGGGATGTTCTATTTACACATACCTCTTTGTTGGTGGCTTCTTGACACATGTGAAACAAGTCATCAGACTTCTTAATGATGTACCCTTCCAGACCTGCGTGAGCGCCCGCTATGACTCGAACCGTGTCGCCAACCCAAAAGACACGCTCAATGTCCTGGAGTCGAAATTCCAGTTCTTGTCCATGTCCATCAATGATGAACTTTAAGCATGTGGAGCCAGATGCATGGTTTGTCGAGATGACCGTGCCAATTTCTTGACAGACTTCTCCTGTGATAGGCCTGGCCGAATCACCAACGCGCAAGAACTGCAGTGAAAAGGTCTTCAGAGTTTTCTTGAAGAAAGGTACATCCTACCCGGACTGGAGATGTAGTCGAATGTCATTAGCATGAGGGGAGGCGACCAGCTCCAGACTGTCGTGGCGAAAGTTCTTCAGCAAAAGTCCCGTATAGTATTGTTCTCCTTTGTACAACCATCCCATGACTTTATCACCCTGAAGAATGTCAGACACTGTCTTGTCATTCGGCAGGCGAGCTCGGTCGAGCAGCGCCACAGATCTCTTAGGCATGTTGTAGGGGAAGTCATGTGGGGGAATCAATACTGTAATGAAGTTGTTTGATTGTTCGGGGTCAAAGACATAGCCAATGTTGCCCTTATATTTTCCCTGTGTGATCTTCACCCACCCGGGGTTGGGAAGTGTAGAGCGTGAACTGTTCGACCGCTGCTTGTTCTTCCTCCGAGATGTGAGTATAATCTTTCACGGAGGAAGTGGGGCATTCTCATACCTGTCGGAGATGTGATTGATCACTGCGGATAACCTATCCTTGGCCGATGAAGGTCCTGGCAAGTGTGTAAGGTTCAATAACCGCACAGAAGGGCCATCATCACCCTCCACCTGCGAGTTTCCTCCTCCTCCTCCTCTTTTCTTCCTCCTCCACATCATCATCATCATCATCATCATCATCATCATCATCATCATCATCATCATCATCATCATCATCATCATCATCATCATCATCATCATCAGACACCTCATTGTCAATAAAGGGATTTTTTAGCTACATGTATTATTTAGTATAGAAGTCATGACAAAACAAATATATTTCTTACTCTTCAGACGCATGCGCTTTTCAAGCGAACGGCTGCCTTCAGGGCAGACACAGATATGGCAGAATCCTTCTGCAGGGTAAAGACTGTCAATGTACTGGAGGCGACTTGGGGTACATGCCTGGCCTTCAAGGTGAGAAGATTTGCTAAGGCGAGGGAGTTATCATTGTCGCCGGAGAACAATGTGTCACGAGCTTCTTTCCAATCATCTGTGTTGTATTGATTGCCCAAGTACAAGGCAAAGGCCGCCTCCATCTGAGGGTAGGTCATCTCAGTGGTAAGGTACTGTTCCAGTATGTGCCATGCGCCGTGATCTGCCAGCAGTGATGGCACTCTCATCCCTGTTATCCGCATAAGAATAAATACAGACAACATGATGCAACAACTTACCTTCATGATTCCTGATGCATTTCAAGGTAGGTTCATCATCATGAGACTCAGATGCCATGCGTTTGGACATCCTGTAGGTTGACATCAATTAATCGAACATATACATAATCCCATTGCAACAGGAACACTTACAGTGCAAGTACTAGATTCTGTATACTACTATCCTAAAGACTACAACCTATGGCTATCTATCTATAGGCTTATTGAGTAGTGGGTCACGGAAAGAAGAGATGTTAACGCACAGGAACCATATTTATAGTGAATGACTTAATGTGGAAGCGCTTAGCAAATGCAGGACAATCGCAGAGACAACATTGTGGTCCTCCAATGTTTTGTGATAAGACCTAGTAGAACAAAAGTCCTGCCTGGCCCACATATACCTGTAACTATAGCGTGCGCGACAACAGTAATTGTAAAGTAGCGCTTAATATATGAAATGAATTCCTATTCTATTCTATTGCTTGTGTTACCCTTGAGTTCGGAAAGGGAATTTTGATTAGAGGATGCCCTTGATATACAGAACGACTATGAGTTCAAACCAAGTTGGCCGCAGCCATGGGCGCTGAGTATAATTTTGGGCTGAGATTGAATCTCATAGTCATTCCATATATTAACTCGCGTCTATCATACACTTCTCTTTCTTTTCAACTTCACCACTTCAATACTGTTACTACTCAATACTGTTACTACTGTAGTCGAAGGTAACTTTGAATCCGACTTAAGTACTAGACTTTGCGTGCCATAGCTTATAGTAAATTTAGAATAAAGTTGATATAGTTTTACGCTTTTTGACTTTACACTTTTGACTTCGACTTTGAGCTCAGTAATAGCAACAAAAATATCAATGCTGTTAATGATAGGATCTAAGCCTGGACAGATGGTGCCTACGAAATGTCATATTGATGTGTAGTGCCCGATTATCGATCTTAATTGATACACTGTGCATAGATTCTTTCACTGTATCAGAATCTATCTAACTTCCGAGAAGAATCACAGCGTGCACGTCCTTAGAATCATCACACAATTTTTCATGTCCCAATTTGATGGACTTGACGTGTTCATCATGTTTCCAGTTATCCACTGGGCTTCGTGCCCTCTCAAGGACTCCGCCCTTCCAATCCTCGATATATTTCTCTAGCAAGAGATGAACATCATCTGGCAGGTCCTGCAGCCGATCCTCAAACTTTGAATATCCTTGCCAGACATTCCCCAGTGATGCCAATGATAATGTTTTGTATTGCCCGAGGACCTGCAGCCTAGTGGGTCAGCTTTTTTTGTCTCTGACGATAGCACTCACACATGCTATCATCCCCATTGCGATAACTAGCTGGACTATTCCCCATACGAAGTTCTTCAGTGCTGATAGAGGACAGTTATCTGCTGACTTCGCAACACTGTCGTGTTTGCGACACCAGATGGAGATGGTTGGTTCTGCATCATTTACAGACGTTGCTCCGAAGATCAGGCTGCGGTGTGTGCCGTCGTATGTCTTACATTTGTCTGTCAGATCAAAATTCTTATTTCATGTAAATAGCGCACCGTCACAGTTTGTACTCGGCCTGTATTGGCACGTTGCAAGATTTGTTTCAGTGTCCCTTTATTTTTATCAAAAACATAAATAACTCCTGTGTCACTACCCCCAACTACGAGGGTAGCCTTCCCCCCCAAAACAACCCGCTTCGGAAAGGTCTTGACTGGGTTGGTATTATAGGTGCAGATACACACTGCATCATCCAGGCGATGTAAGCTGAATCCATTCATAACATTGTCCATCAGGAACAGTGTTTGGCCTGCATCTACAGAAGCATGCCCGCTGTAGTGACATGGTAAGTGATTATCAATGATTGTTGTAAATATCACTTACATTAATGGCCTGGCATTGTTTGTAGCGATGATGGCGCCATCTGTGCCCCTAAGTGTATGTCTGGAATATCCCATGGGATATTGATATTAGATGCACAGTAATCAGGTAGGTGTGAACACTTACATCTCGCTGTCATACATGCTGAAGACCAAGATGTTTCTACTTGCAGCATGGTTGAAATTTATGGTGCGCGGAATGGTAGTAGCAAGCTCGACGCTGAAAATCGGTATCAACGGTCCCTTGAAGTCAAACACCCAAACTTGAATGTGTCTGTCACGTGTCCCACTCGCAATTTGAGTGTCATTCCCAGTATGATCGCATGTAAGACACATGATCTCTTTACCTGTCCCAATCCTCCTTGATATTTTTGCATCAAAGTCCTGCAAACCTTCCCCCTGTTGCTGCCAGATCCCTAAGAAACCGAGTCCCGTGCCATAACATAATGTCTCCTGCGTTGCCTCATGGCAGGTAATCCAACACATGCAAGTTACCGGATCCTCTGGGTTTCGAATGGCTGGGGTTTGAGGTGGGATTGGGAGCTGAGCTTGCCTTTGAAGGTCCCAAATCATCATTCCGTCAGATCCTGGTATGTAATAAGTCAAGTCCTATTTCATCGCGCATATCGAACTCACCCCCACTTGCTAACATATAGCCATTGCGAGAGACCACTAAGCAATTGATGGTGTTCTTATGCCCAACAAGGCGCCCTTCAAGGCGATAATCGTTGGAAGGACTGGTGGGGAGTAAAAACATTGGAGGTATTAAAGTGAGTCCATCCATCGTTATCTTGAAGGACTTATATTGACTGCCCGACACAATAAGGTCCATAACACCAAAAATTCCCAGACCAGACAGTGAGGCTGGACATCCTAGCCATGATGGATACAACTTGGAAATAGCACTCAAGTGGGATGCCGGCCACTTCAAGGCGTTCAAGGTGAGCTGGCACTCGAGTAATAAAATCCCCTTGAAACTAATGACATCAGGAGTGCGTTCATGCTTCCATCAAGAAACACTGCGACACTAGCAAGAGCAAGACATCTCAAACCCCTTCCGCAATAGTTGCAGTCCAGACAGAGGTACATCTAGAATTTCTATATCCATTTGATGCTAACTTCATTTGAGGTCCTATCTCACTTTTCAGAACTCAATGATTATGATGGCTGTTGGCCAATTGGAGATATAATTCAGATGCAGCTGAAAAACACCGCTGCAAAGCAGAGACTAAAGAATACAGTACACAAATAATGTATGAACACATAATGTTAAATAGAAGAACAGTTTGAAATGACTAATACCTAATACTAACGTGCTTGATCGCTTGTACATTATTAATAGAGTTTAACAACATTGTAGTCGCATTTGGGTTACCGCAACACAGCTGTTGACATTAGGTGAGCTCTCTTCAGATAAAATTTGCACTACTGAATGTTTTGAATTGCAAGATGTCCCGCCTAACGTCTTATTTCTTTTCAGATGGTGCAGATGATGATCCCGTCACCCCAGCTGTAGAGTCTTACCCTCTCAACGAGCTTCATCCAGCAGCGGCCATGCATATGTATCCCCCCGGCCTGTTATCTCTGCCAGTCTGGATCCTCGTACATCAGCAACACCATCATCGCCCGCTACATCACTTGGCGAAGAGTTCGGGATAGATTTATTCGATAACCCCTGGGGAACTGCTCGTAGGAAGAGAGATGACAATGACCAGCTGGTGGGTCATCGCGTACTTCTTTGCTTTTCTGAGCTAACATATATTCAGCCAAATAAAATATTCCTCAAAGAAGTCGATCAGTCGTCCAGACTGCGGGATGATGTGTGCGAGTTACACTTCTCCAAGCATGATCTTTTACTCTGCAAGCGGCAAATACAGGTACACTCATTAAATATCTCCTGTGTTCATACTTGATTGACTACCTTTCAGACCAATGCCAACTCACAAGAATCGAATTTGCGATCCGTCATCGCGCAGTATCAAGAACATCAGGAATCCCTTGAGTGTGGAAAAGCTGATGCCCTCACATCATTGAACAAGAATCATCATAATGAACTCGCCAACTTCCAGGTAGGGTTCTGTCCCCATGATGTTGATATTCTGACTTTCTGCGCCAGAATCGAATGGTGTTGGGTATATGTGAAGCACAACAGGAGGCGCACACAGAACAAGATATCCTAGTAGCCCAACAAGACGCTTTCTTTCAATATGAAGCTAACATGGCTAAAAAGAAATTGTTGGCCGAGAAAGAAGCTGAGTTAGCCCACCTCGCTGCCGGGTATACCAGCAAGATAGCTTCATTGGATGTACGTATTGACATGTTCATATTTGGAGCTTTCCTGATATATTTACAGAGCCAGATGCGACAAGCAAACATTGCAAGCTCCTCTCCCTCCCTCCCTTCATGGCACCATCTTGTAGGCAAAAGACCTGTTGCCACATGCACAAATATTGTTGGGTTTTTGATAGTAAGCTCATGTCTATCGCACACCTCTATTTATTATCTAACATCACCCATGCCTCAGATTCCTGACGCAAGTTCAGATTCTGATAGAGATGAGGGTCCTCAGACTAGTATCAGGGGGGCTGCGCCTCCCCTGACTTCACTATTAAGTGATGTTCCGATCCAGAATGCCACCATTGGCATGCTTGTTGAGGTGCTCGCAAAGGTTCTACAGCAGACAGTGCCCCCGAGGGCAGCTCAATCCAGATTCAAAACCCATGAGACCCCTATCGAGAATTTTACTGATGCCCAGCGCCAATATAATAAGGTACATTTTTCCCAACACAATTGACATTGCTAATGAAAAGCCAGGCCAAAGTTCGGGAACTATTCAACACAGCATTTCATTTCGCAAAAGATGATGAGTATATGCTTCATGTCACTGTGTCGAGCAAAGCCATATCGTCCTTTACGCAAGGACTGGGCACGGGCACTGACCCTCTCGAATTGCACTGGGATATGATGACCACACACAACTCCAAGTGGAACCAAAGAGTAATTGATATTTTGTGTTCTCAGTATACTTGCATGTTTGAGATGAACCAATTGGCCTCAAGATCTCCTCAGTCCATCAAAAACGATATCACAAAGAAATTCAATCAATGCCACAGTTCCTGGAGAAAAGCCCAGCCTTGTGTGCTTAACGATGGCACTCATGAGACTATGCAAGCAGTAGGAGACCAACTCATGGATCAGACCAACGAGCGATTGCGGGTCACAAGGGTCCTCACTCGCAGGGTGACAGTTAGTCATCTTCTGATTGGCTTGAAGGATGCTAACTTTCTTTCTAGAAGTTCGAAACTCGTAAGAAAGTCACGTCGGCCCTGCTAAGTGACAGGATAGCGACCGGAAAGGATGACCAGGCTGTGTGGGCATATCTACAATCCCTTGTGGAGACTCTCAGCAAAGATGGCATGAGCTCTGATGAGAGTGAGCACGAAGATGGCGAAGTTCAGGTGTTTTGTCTGAAAAAGATGCCGTGGAGAGCAGACGTCGATCATGAGATGCACATCATTGATCAACAGCGGTTGGCAGGTGCTGCAAACTTCACTCCCCAGGGAAGCAAACCCGCAAAGCGTTTTCGCAACGCAATCCAAGATTCGTCTTGCCCAGCAATCAAAGGCTTACCGAGGGTGTTATACAGTTCATCATGGTTGAATGCCCAATCTCCTTCATTCACGATATCTGACAAGAAGCTTCAGAGAATGGCAATTATCCTGTCCCGCTAGTGATTAGTTTGTATGTGTACTGATAGCATGTATAGTGCCTCCTTGTACCCCCTTGTACCTATTACTTCCACCCAATTAGTGTAGTTTCAATTGTACTCCTAATATGATGCTCACATGGGCAACTTGATCTGGCAAGTTTATGATGAGCAGGCGCTGATGTGACGAGCAGGCGCTGATGCGATCAGTGGAGTTTTATTTTGCAGTCGTTCACTATATTAGGCATGTCCTTTCATCTCCTGCACTTTCTTTCTGATTTTAATGTTAATATAGTTGTTATGTACCTATTGGTTGTACATATTGGTCGCAAAAATCTAGTACGTTGTCTCACTCTGTTGGATATCTTCCTGGCATTCCAGCAAGGGTGTCTACTGTGTGTGCGTTAGATTGTCGTCACACTGCATTGGTTCATGAACGCACCTTGCCCACCAATCAACAAACATGGTTTTGCGCTTGGAATCATTCTGAGGGAAAATGATCCGTGCTTCATGCCGTTCCAAATGTGCTGTGCTACAGGTGGGATCAAATTATCGTTGGTTTGAAGCTTGTAATGAACATGGTCAATATAGATTACTGTGAAACGAATTCACCGCCATACATCTCTGTTGTCATTTGTTCTGGGCTTCTCTGCACCCTTGGAGTAATGCTTTGACATAATGTCATCCACTTCCATACCCAACAATGCACCCTCAAGTGCCGCATAGATGTGCTCGCATAAAAGGTCAGTTGTTGGATGCCCCCCTTCACAATGACGGCGAAGATACTTGTTTATCACCTTCTTTAGGCTGCAAACAAGTTCTCTTTTCTTCAAAGAAAGGTGCCCCACATCCTGACTGCTGCTGGTGTCACTGGCAATGTTGGCCATCAAGATCTGCGCCTGAAATGTCTTGAACACGGTAAGTCCACCTGTCTGTAAGACTATGTTACTAACCTCATCGCCCGCTACATCAGGGCTTTGGATTGAAACATCTTGCACACTTCTCAATGGCCCGCTGGGTGATTCGGGTGTGTCAATGGACATGGTGGATCCCATCCACATGAGCTGTGTGTTTAGCTGGGAAGGATCAGTTGAGTAGTTTCTTCATCAGATCACGCTAACTTCATTTACCATCTCCTGTCCTAGATAAACATTGTACTCGTTGAAATACATGGCAAACCTCCTCATCAGAGGTGCTGTGATTGATTTCAGATTTTTATTCCTTGACGCCTCCATGGGTGGCGAGGGCTGAACATATGGATTGAAGTAGACAGTGGCATAGTGAGTTGCAGGATTGAGAAATTCGTGTAACTTTTAAATCAAGTCCTATGGTATGCATTTAGGTCATCTAGAATTTTATCCTGTAGCTCGTCAATTGTATTCCCTTGGTGATGAAACATTTCTGGTTTATCCTCTCTGCAGGTGAGAAACTCTGGTTTATCCCCCATTTAATTAAGTGATCAATTAAGGCCTACTGATCAATTTTTGCGACCAAACAACAAGCTTCTTCAGAACAATCACTTGGAGCAACTTAAAGCAAGGTCCTCTTCAATCCTTCTAGGTAATTTTGCGATGGGAAACTCGTTAAGTCACATTTCTGGTCAGAAATCCGATTTCCAGGAGCTATGCTCCTTATATTCCATTTGGTTGTGACTTACAATTCCTTATACACAGTCCCAGGACTCCTTGTCGACAACTACCCTCTCTGGCACGGTGAGGCCCTCACACGCACATAGGCACCTGCTAACTGATGATTTGTAGGACATCGGCACTATAGCAAAGGCACCCCTGAAGCATAAATTTGATTCTAACGATGACTGGCTATCCCCACGAAAGCGATGCCTCCTGGAATCTTATTCTACCAGTGACATAAGCCAGGTTGTTGTTGCAGTACATCTTAATTTCTAACCTTGCACATCCGTGTTTGATCCAGTTTAAGCCTCAAACAATACATCGTTGCAACACTGACTTTACAAACCCCTCAGCCAAGCGCTTGTACAGGGAGGCAGTATGGAAAAACCTCATATAATATATTTGCGTCCACTGATTTCGACCCTAGTCTGATATTTTCCTGAGGCGTAAAGCGGCTGCTAAACTAGATCCCTTTTCAATAAAACACATCATACTCTATAAGCCTCGTCACGCCCCGGCATTCATATGGTCCCTACCCGCTGAAATTCTCATTACTATCGTCGCTCTTTTAGGAGTGGAAGATTTGCGCTGTGTTACTCAAATTTGTTCTCTGTTTAGAGAAATCACCGGTCCCCTCTTCATCAACTGGAGCTTCCCAACTTCACCGCAGGACATGTTTCACATCTGTGTAGACTTGCATAATTTTGATGTTCTACTTACTTGGATACATATGGATACCTTTCGTCCTCCGCATATGATGTTGTGTTGGTTAGATCCTGATCTGCGGTCCACGCAACTCTCTGCATTTTCGTACTTTCTCCAGTCCATCCCCCATAAATCCATATGATATATAACACTTTTCTGGAATTTTGACATTCTCACTTGCTCAGTTCTCCCTCAGATCATTACAGTCCTTGAGAACATCCACGCCTCCGGCTGTGAGGATATGACATGCATGTCATTCCATGGTCACGTTGGCTCATATCCCGTCACTGGAATCACCAGAATTCAGGGGGATGTGAGCGTGAACCACCTCAGAACCTTTGATGCGTCATCACAAGCATTATTTTCCCCCAAACTCCTTTCTTTCACTATTCAAACCATTCGCTTTTCCTCTTTGGAAAGGCTCCAACTCAGTTCCATCAAACTCAGTCCTTCACACTGGGACAAACTGCTGTAGGCACTTGACCATCCCAATGCTCATTGAACTTCGAGTCGATGCTGATTGTGCTCCATCTACACTCATTCGCTTCCTGGCCCGTCACCCCGGCATCAAAGACCTCAGTATCATTCCGCGACCTGGTTGCCTCTGGAGGACCCATTGAGTCACTCCTCCTTTAGCGTTATTGGTATCTATGCTGGATGGCCCTTTGTCTCATATCCTCCCAGTCATTTGGAGTCACCAAAGACCACCCACCCTCTCCTGCCTTGCTCTCTCGTTGCAAGCACATGATGCTTCACCTGACTATCTTACTGCCATCCTACAATGTGTTGGCTATTGCAATAGCATTGGATACCTTGACCTTTCCCTACCTCCGCAGAGTCATTCCCATTCGGCAATGATTTACCCAGGTGTCCAGTCAGCAATTTATGTTAAACACTTGGGGATCTTTTCGGACATTGCAGGATTGTGCTCCACTTTGGCAGGAGATGCATTGGTACGTGTTTGTTAAAGCACTATTTCAATACCTGAATACTAACTGTAGCTCCAGGCCTTATCTGCTTCGTGTATTGAAGCCTTTCCTTGACTCAAACATGTTAGCATGCGAGGCTGTTCCAACCTCACTGCCGAGTATCTTGTTCACGAGATGCGCAAATTTGCTGGAGCTGATGTCAAACTGTCTGTGAAACTGCGTACTGAATATTCCTTGTAATTTATGGTTTGTTACGCACCCGCCTAGCTTGTCCATCTCTTCGGAATAAAATACCCAAAGGCTTCATTTGCGTGTATGATACTTACTGATACTTACAATGATGTGTCCTGCTGTACTGCTATATTCTCCATCCAGAAGGGCGCATATAGCGTTAACGCAAATTGCATCCGCGGGCAGTTTCGCTCCATATAATAGAATCCTACTTTGCATATTGAAATTCTGGCGGAGCTTGATTATGTGGTCATTCACTATATTAGGTACATTCTTTCAGTGCTTTACCTCTTTCCTATTGTCTTACTGTTAATACCTATACTTACGTGGATTCCAAGCTCGTTCACTCATGTACTTAAATATAGCACTACTATGTACTTGTATATGTACTTATTGTGATGTTCTTATTTACATTGAGCATTCGAGATGTGGTGCGTTATTCCCTTGATGGGATGAACTTGATTGAAATGAAAAGTTAGTCCATTATGTGCGAACAGCGACCGCATATCAAATTTCGGATTCGGCTCCCCTGTAAGTACCTCCGCCGACTTGATGGATCAGTGCTAACTACTTTCCCTTATCGTCGTTCTCATATATCCCACAAGACCAGCGAAGCCAGCTGTCCATTGAAGTTTATTAGATGCCTAGCCGAATATTCCTTTGCAAATGTACCCAATGCTGCGAAGTTGGAGGCAATGGAGTGCCTAGTAATCCTGGTGGCAAACAACTGCCTGTCGCGATGAAGCATGTACATTCATTGCAAGCTGCCAACATCGCTTCCTCACTTTGTGAAGCTTCTGTGCTTCATCTTGCTCGTCAGACCTTAGAGCCCGGCAATTCACGTCACTTCACAGATTGTCAAGTGTCATCCTCCTCCCAACCTTTGGCTCACCCAACACATTCACCCACAACATCGGAGCTGTTGAGTTTCGTGAAGTCCTTCAGAAAAGAAGGGGTTCAGTAAAGACTTAGTCGAAGGAGTGCTTCAACTAAGAATGCTAGTTCAGACAACTTAAGATTGGAGGTCTTAAGTGAAGGAAGTTCTGGTAAAACCTAGTAAGATTCAAGTGAAGTTCTACAAGGCTAATACATGTGCTTAAATAAGTCGATATGTGCGCACGGACCAAGGTAGTCGTGAGATATAAGTACATAGTTCAAGAAAGGCAAGTGATCATAAATGAAAAGCGTACTATCGGACAAAAGGGACAAATAAGCGAAAGAAAAGCATGATTGTAACATTACCCCCCTACTAGGCATAAAGTCACCGACTTTAATCATTTAAGTTAGCGTAGTAAATAGGATCATCACAATAGTCCAAGTCGTCAGAACCTCCCTTTAGTTGCTCAGAGCGATAGAAAGCTTCTTCTTCCTGACACTGCGCAATGTATTGCTCATCTTTGGTGTTTTCCCAGAGAGCTAGTGCGGTGTAAAATCCCTCATCCTTCCAAGTCAGAGTGGTAGGCGTACTGCCCATATACCTAGGACAATAGAATGAAAGATGTCCAGGACCTAACTCTCTGCATACTCTGCAATAGTAGTCTGGGCAATGTACTTGACAATGCCCAAGAGTTTTGCAGTATCGGCAAACCCGATTTTCATCTGGATTGGATGAAGTAGAGCGTAATGGGGAGGGACCAGGTCGCGGGCTTAATGCTTCGTCTGCACTAGTAGCCCGCTTCTTTCCTTTTCCTTTATAGGACTGTCCACGTGTCCTCTTTCAAAGAGCGGTGGATGATTTTCGTTCGATAGGGTGGTTACAAGTGACGTCTTGTCGTTCCGCCTCTGCGATTAGCTCAGCTGGAGTAGAAGGAGCAGTTGCTCCTAGCATCTCGACAGGGATAATCCCATCTTTGAACATATGCGTGGATAATGATTTAGGAATGGTCATTGGAGGATGAATATGAAGTGCCTCGAGCGCATTTGAAAAATCTTTGATTTCGTAGTAGGAAAGATATTGTTCATTAGGGTTATCTTCTATTTCTTCATGAGTAGTGGAGAATGCTTTATAAAGATTTTCTGGGTGATTTTGCGTTTTGATGGAGGCGTTAGGCAGGGAAGTTTCTTCGATGGGGGCATTTACAGGTGGTGTGATTTGTCGTTCAATGGGAGGGGATTGTTCTTCTATATGGAGGGCGGCGATCATGGCTTCCGTGGTTTGCGTGAGACTATTGACAGCAGCCAACAGCTCATTAGGAATATGAGGAGGAGGTACAGGTACTGCGTCGTGGTAAGATGGGGGCGGGTTGTCAGTTGTTCTATTGACAGGGGATGGAGAAGGCGGGCGAGCAACACCTGCTGATCGTTCTGCGACGATATGGATGACGGTTCTAATATCATCTTTAACCTCATCAGGAATAAGACGCAGAGTAAAGTTGCGTATGCACTTTTGAAGGTGCATAATGCCATGTCGGACTGCTTCGTCCTCGACAAGGCGCGTAAGTCTTTCGATAAGGTCTGTGGCTCTGATGATGTTGACAAGGAGATTAATGGAGTATGCGTTTCTTTCGAAGAGGATTCTATTGAGTTCAATAGCGTGTTGGGGACAGAGCATAGCTGCTTCAATGAGGGTGAGATCTTCGGCATTGGTGATAAAGGCTTCATATCGGTCTTCATCATTTGCGAACGTAGTGGTTGAGAAGGTGGATTTGTAGGGGAGTGTGAAAGAGGTTGGGAAAG